CTCTTGGTCCCAATACTGTAAGCTTGTTTCCAGATACCAATAGACTTTATCCTGCCAGCAGGTTTTAAATTCAAAGTTTTGGTAATATATAAAACATTTACCTTTCTCAAAGCCAGCTTTGTGACACTCCATTACTGTAATTTCCATTTCCAGCTTGGCAATACCAATAAATAAAAATGAGAAAATGCTTCGGTCACCCGTCTCTGGTCCCAATACTGTAAGCTTGTTTCCAGATACCAATAGACTTTATCCTGCCAGCAGGTTTTAAATTCAAAGTTTTGGTAATATATAAAACATTTACCTTTCTCAAAGCCAGCTTTGTGACACTCCATTACTGTAATTTCCATTTCCAGCTTGGCAATACCAATAAATAAAAATGAGAAAATGCTTCGGTCACCCGTCTCTCCCCTCTCTGATGCATCAAAACACAAATACTCCAACGATGATTTAACTTCCTCCAGCAGACCTAATGGCAGCAGTCTATTACCTTCCATCTCCTCCAGCAAAAAACATAAGGGTGAAATCCAGTCACAGCCACATCCCGGAGACTTCAATGTAAGTTTATGCTGTTGTTCACAATATAAAGCCTAGCTGTGTATTTTTCACTTCGTATTGCAATCCGTGATGGTTTTGCAGAATGCTATGCAAAAAAATTGTAATAATGAATGTTGTAAGTTCAGTTCTTCTGATTTGGAGTTTAGCAAGGCACAGAAGAAAGTAAAGAGGGCAGGCTGTAAAGCAGGCAAATACCAAAGGCTACATAAGCAAAAGGTAAAAGCTAATGGCCCAAAACAAATGGCTTTAGGCCTCCAGAGTATCACTTGGCACGATGCAAGCCCCTTACATCCAAAAGCGTGGTGCATAAGGCCTCTACTGTATAAGGCCTCTACTCAGCCACTGCCTAACCATGAGTGTGCCTTCTACATGTCTTACAACCAACTTTCTCAGACATTTCTACTTGCTCTCAACACTGGTGAATAGCTTAGCACCAGCCTCACAACGCCGCTCCATCAGAGCCCAGGTATTCAGATACCTATCAGAGAGTCTTGATCACACTAAGTGTGTCCAGAGCACCCTTCCAGATAAGGCCGTATTACTACACCGCATGGAAGCCTCTGCCTTCAGAGCACGGAGAGAGAGGAGTAGACGCTGCCCCCGTTTATGCACGAGTTGTGTGATTAGGATGATGGAGTAAAGAGCCTGTTAGCTCTTCTGATTGAGGGAATTCACATCTTTCTCTCTCTCACCTCTCAAAATCATACCCTAACCTCCAGCCTACAGGACACTGCTGGTAGAAGATCAAGGGCAGAATATTGTCACGTCCTCCCCTTGAAGCTGTTCTGCTTTGTGTGAAATACCTAGAAGCAGCAATTTGGGCACCGTCATATTGATGTCCACTGCTGGAGTGTCTAGTCAAGCTGTTAGGGCACTCTGCTGCTGCTAGAAAGGCCCATGCTCCTCTTCTTGCTACAAAAGCCATTTATATATTTTATCCTAGATGTATTTGTTGTATTTGTTATTTGATACGTGAGAGGCTTCAAAAACCTAAGTATTAGTGCCTAAGCAACTTTCAGGAAAACAAACTACCTGAGTTGTAGCAGTGGTCTCTTCTAGCCACTTTCGCTGTGGGGATAACTGGCCCCACAGTATATGTTAAGTATATATGTATATACTTAAATAGATTTATTTTTTGAGAGTGGAGGGGGAAGTAGTACCTATAATATTAATTTTGGATGCTTTTTAAAAAACAAGTTATCATAAGATGTGTATTTCAAGAATATCTCGCAGATGCTTTTGGTAAATTGAAATAAAATTAATTACATAAAAATATTCCAATAAAAAGGCATTTTAACATATCATAGTCATTAATTTATTTTTTCATGGATTAAATGTAAATTTTTAAACATTTTAACTTCTAAAACATAAGTTTAGAGGTTTATAACCCATTCAGAATTATAATGATATGATTCTTCACTGGATATCTTTAAAACAATTTAAATTCCTTCACAGGCAAATGTGCTGGAAATCAAAAGTAAAAGGTGATTGCTTTATGATCCACACCCTTAGCAAACGCGTTTCACTGAGATTTTCTGCATAGCCTAGCAATGCACCATTTGGTCAACATTTTAACAACCTTTGCAATAAAATTCTTATGTATGTGGTTATTCATCTGAAAACTTTAGCCTGCTGAAAAAAAGATGTGCCACATAGAAGATGAGAGCTCATGAACTATAAATGTTAAAGTCAGCTTTGTTTTATCCCAACTTCCCATCTGGCACCTAACTGGCATGCCCAAGTGGTCCTCTGAATTTCTATCAGAGACCGCAAGCCAGGGAGTGGCTTTCATCCATTTCAGCTTTTTGTCCATTTCCCTATTGCATTTCTGTCTGTCACCTAACAGACAAAGAACAGTGTTTTCTGGCAGTGATTATCAACCAAAAACAACCTGGGACCCTCTGCTTCGCACTGTACCAGTGCATGGTAGCCCACACAGCAGGTCACTCGGTGGGACGAAGGGCTCATGAGGCCTCATGAAGAACAGGGCTGCAGCTGAGAGTGAGACCCTGCCAAAAGACATGTGCTTCCGCTGTGGCACAGAGCAGTGGTCTTTCAAGCTGATCAGGGGCCCAGAGCAGAAAGAAACCTGGACCTTGGGCTACAAATTCATACTGCACAGGCACATCAGCAGTGCAGAGTCAAACAAGTGAGCCTTGCTCCCCCGAGGCAAGGTACAATGCTGGTTTGGAAGCTGAAGACTAAAGATATAACTTGATCTTCTAAATGACCACAACAGATCTACTCTTTAATGATTTCACTTACTGTGTTTCAGCGTGTTTTGATAGTTACTAATAGTTCAGCTCAATTTCTTCCGTATATCACATTGAAACTCAAGCCCTTTAGAAAGTGCTCTGAGCAATATCTGTGAATTTGTGGCTGTCAGTGGCAGGACAGTTATACATACTCCCTGCTGAAATAGTAGGGAAACTAACTGCCAATTTACAGCACTATGCAAAGACGCTCTGTTGTTTATTAGTTGATTTTTTGAAGTTAGTAGCCAATTCCTCAATGTCTTCTCTGCTGTTCGTTGTCTAGAAAGCAATTCACATCAATTCAGAAAATGTTCTTTGCAATAAGCCCCAGTCCCAAACAGAGCCTTGGTCACCTCTGTCCAGCACACCCAGGGACTGCAGAAGGACAAAGCTTATCTTCGATGATATGTAAGTACAGATGACTTTAAAATAAAGAAAACAGTGACATTTTCTCCATTTAAAGAGAGAAAAATGCGATTTGTCCAACAGGAACAGAGTCGTGGCCAGAAGTATTATAGTAATACTGTACATTGAGAAATGAATGAGACATACTATATGAACTCTTTAATTTTTCATAATAAATTAAGCCTCTAATCATCAGGGAGCAGTGAGGACCGGCTATTCCCTAAAGGACGGGGAGCCAGGAGCCAAGGGGCAGAACACGGCTGGCAGAGCAGGGGCGGTGCCAGCCAGGGGTCCAGTCCCCCAACACCCAAGCAAGGGCAGGCCCAAGGGTGGAGGCAGGTTCAACCAAGAGCCTAGATCCTCAGGCAATTCCAAGGTGATGAGGCAGGTCCAAGGTCAGGCCAGGAAGACAGTCTCCAGGTCAGGGTCCAGATCAATGAGGGCCATGGCCGGGCTTACAAGCATGGCTGTGAAAGGGCTGAAGACAGGCACACTTACAATGAGTTGGGCAGGGAGTGAAGGCCCAGACCTGAGCTTAAATGAATTTCTTTAGCCCACGGGCAGAGACGGGAGGCCTTACATGAGGCAGGACAGGGCCATTAAGGCTTTATTAGTAGCCTTGAGGCTCTGGCATTAATTATGCACACATCGGACTATTAATATATACAGAACCATAGCAAGGCAGGGTGACAGGGGCACCCTTCTTATGCACCCTTCAGAGCAAGCGGAGAGGACACCTGGGAGCCTTGCATCCCTGAGCCTTGACAGCTGCTGCTGTCATTGCTACTGCTGCTCAGAAAAAGGTATCACAAAGGCAGGGTGAGTAGGAAGCAACTGTGGTTGGCATGAGTACCTGGAGGGATACCTGGCCCTCCCCACCTCCACGACATCCTTCAAACATCCCCTGCTCTCCTCCTCAGAAAATAATTTCAGCTTGTAATTGTTTTTCTTTTCTTTTTGGTAAATTAAAATTGCTGGTTTATTTCCCAACTTCATTTAGGATGTGGTATTATTTAGATAAAGATGAAACTGAAGGTTGAAATCCTAGTATCTAGAAAACCCAGATTCCTTTTGACTTGCAATTTTTTGGCCTGAAAATACTGATTTTTCTAGTGTAGAAGAGGTTCTGTTGAAGCTATGCCTCAGACTGCCTGGAGCAAATACAGCTCTGTAAGCTGTGTGACCTTGACGCGCCTTTCGTACTCCCAGACTTTCACCTATAACATCGCTAACTCTTTTATACCAAGGAAAACCCTTGGAAAACAGCCCTGTTTCCTCAGGAACTGCTTTTTACCAGAACTGGGATTTAATAGTAATAATAATTGTAATAATTGTAATAATTGTAATGTTTATTCATACCACCTGGTCTCTGGGACAACTAGAGAGACAGCAGCCTCTCATATAGAGAATCCAGGTTTCCTACTATAAGGCATAAATAATTCCCATAGACTTCAAAAGGACGTAACTGTTTTGTTTGTCAAGAAAAGACTGGTGAGATTAATGTCTGTATGTATTCATGGCAGTCGTAAGGAGATGTAAGTTGAATAAATGTAATCATTTTTTCTGCCCCTTTTGGAGAAAACTCCCCCCTGTGTATATATTCCTATTTTCCCTCCTTCTCCACTTCTCTCCATGTTATTTTTTAACTCTTCCAGTGTATTTATTCAACAATCTCCACTGAGGAAATTTGAAACTGTTTAGAAGTACTACCTAACTCTTCATATCTCTTAGAATACTTTATCATCTATAATTTACTTGCAACTGTTCAATTTTTTGGCAGTTTATACGTGTACATATGAGGCAGAAAGGTATTAGTGTGCCTGATAAAAGTCAAAATTGTAGGACATGCTCATCTGTTTGGATTAGAAAAAAACACAGTCAGAAACAGCTACAACAAAACTATTGTATCTTCATCTGATTTTCCCTCAAGATGCTGACAAAAAACAGGGGGACTGGTTTGTTTTGTCTTTCCCCTAGAATACTGTCATAGGAAAACTGCTTTTTTTACTGTCTCTCTCATCTAAGAGGCTTTTATCACTTGCTTTCTCCATTAGTGATACATGTGATTTCTCTGGCAGGCATCTTCAATAAAACTGTTTCACCTTTTCAGAGAGATACAATAAAACTGTTCGTGTATAGTGCCTTCCATGTAGAATGTCCCCAAGCAACATGTGGCCCATTAAAAAAAGCAATCTAAAAAGCCAAATAAGATAAAACACAGAATCGAATATGTCTTAATTTGCCCTTAAAAACCAGAAACGGTTAAATGCCTGTTGTGCTAACTAGGGGAGGGAGATTTTCATGTACTACAACTGTCATCCACAACCTGTATCTAGGAAACACCACCAGAATACCAGCTATACTAGACCTCGATTCTGACATTACTGTGCAGAGAAGTCACTGAAATGTAGCAGATTAGACTGGCTGCAAATGTTAAATGTCAACAAATTTGACTCACATGTTAGAAGGATCAAATTAAACATGGCAGCCAGTGTCTTTCAAATTCGTATAGTACCACAGCTGAGGATTTGAAGAAATGCAATACAGTAGGTCTAAAATCATGTAGTAATCCTAATGGCAGCATTTGTCCAAAATGATGCCTATGAAGTATTTCGTCTCATAATCCATGAAGTTCTGAATTACTGTAATCCAGCCATGGCTTTAAAGTCTTCATTTTAATCAGAATCTATAGTTTCTAAGAGACTAAATCCCTTATATTTGATTTAAAACAACAACTAATTTTTTTGACCAATCAGTGTCTCTTTGCTTTATTCTCAATTTATTTTCTCCAGATCATTGACAACAGCTGTCACTAGCAATAAATTGGAACACAAGTAGGTCAATAAAAAGTATATCTTGCTTGGCAGAGTGCTGTATACACACACATCGCAATATAAAAGTAAATATAGCTAACAGTCTTCAAAAGGCAGGCAAAATCCTACTTGCCCTGGTTTGCCACTGTTTACTGCCGGCTCTAAATATGCTTCGAGGTACCCAGCACGCCACATGTATAAGTGACATCAATGCTGTTCCCAATATTAATTCTTAACAAGGTTTCCTGGATTTTTGGCCATTTCTGACTCTATGAAGAGAACATTTTCAAGGCTACATAATAATGCTTCAAGCCAAATTCAGTCCTGCTGTAATTTCACTGAATGGTAGAATTCCCAATAACCACATTTAGGAACAAAGTCTGTTGTCCTTGAAGTGATAAGCACAGACATGCTGTGGGCGCCCGAGGGCACAGTCCCACACCCTCCTCAAAATACTGCATGTGTGGTATAAAAAAAAAGCAGAGCGTACCCAGCTTCCCAGTTTTCCTTAGGGCTAAATCAGAACATGCTCCTCAGGATTGTTCTCTCACTTGCATTGTGGGTTACCCTTTCAAACTTGGGATGTGTTTTTTCTTCACTTACATTTATTTTCCTTTTTTTCTGGCCTTATAGGAGCAAGATAATACATCTTCTTCAGCTTGTTTTTTTTATTTCATACTTTGTTGAATGTTTGTTCCAGCTTTATGGATTTAGGTGCTACACACACTCACCAGCTTTACATTGTCCAAGGGACATATCCTGCTGTGAGATAGCATTTCTGTGTTTGTTTGTCAACCAGTAAACCACATACCCAGAAAATATGCAACCTGTAAAGGTGTTATGCATAGAGCTCATAAAGAGCTCAAGATAACTTCTTGGCGCATCTCTGTTTTGGCTAGAACCCCAAGTCTCCCATTTTCAGTCTCCTCTTCCTTGTTCTTCTGCCTCAGAGTGGAAAGGAAAAGGTGCTCTTGGGTTGTGACTCGCATACAACGTCTGGAAGTCATCTCACTTTGCATTGCTCAAAATGCCTCAAGGATTCCTGGTCTTCTGAAGTATTTAGAGAGACTTTTGTAGTGCTGAGCAGATTCTCAGGAGCACAGTTAAAGAATAGAGCTTGGCTCCTCTTTCTTGTCATCAGCAATCTAAAAAATCACTGCTCAGACAGACCAACATCTACTACACTAAGTTCCTCACAAATTCATATGCTTACTTTGGACTGCTCCCAATTTCTTGGCTTTGGGAGATTTCAAGACTTCATCTGACCATCCCATTCTTCTTCTCCTTCCCTTCTTACTTGTGGCACTGAATTTTCTCATGTGTACACTGCTCATGAGAAAATAACATTAGACTATTAGACAGCAGACACTGCCTCCCATGATTAGATAATTAAGCTGCCTGTTCTCTGCAAGGCCACCTACCCCCTTTCTTTTTAGGGACACTTTGTGAGAGCTTGGTCTGGTGGGAAATAGATGCTGAATCAGCTCTAGCAGGAGATTCTCACGGGGTATTCTCACGGGGTAAAGAATTTATAGCCACTATTCCCTGTCGTCAACGAAAAGCCAGAGCTGTGGACCTCATTTGAACTTATAAGCTAACATCCATGCCCCTCCTCTGTTCCTATGGGCAAGTGGTCCAGCACTGCTAATGTTTATATGATTAAACTGTCTTCGCTCCCCAAAACAAAGAACACTCACTGCCTCCTGAGAACAGTCCCTGGCCTGTGCTGTCCCCCAGCTGTGCCCAGGCATTGTCTGGGACCGAGCTCAAAACTATGCCAGGGTATTAGCAATTAAACAGCATGGATGATCAAACCATAGAGCTGGTATCCTTGCCCTGCTTATTTCACTTGCACGGAGATTGCCAAGGAATGGTTTTATTGACAGACTCAGATCTGAAATAGCCTCTGATAATTTTTCTACTCAGGAAAGAGGATTTGTTTGCATCAATTGATTTTGATGTGCCTTTTTCTAACTCTACAGCTTGACTAGAAAATATCTTTAGTCCACAATGAATCATAACAGTGAGCAGGACAAAGGTCTTCTAATGAGGCTCAGCAAACCCTCTTTCAGGTCCCAGCAGCAGAGCCGATTCTTTCAGACAGGAGAGGACAGTCTCTCCCACCAGTCTCTCCCAGTCTTTCCTCACCTCTGCAACTGGTGAGCAATGAGCAGATGCCTACAGCAGGTG